AACATACTACTACTAGATACATAGTTGTTTAATACTTTTAGTATACAAATACATGTAAATATTTTAATTGCTTGACAGCCATTCACTAATCTGTGATTAGATAGTAGCCTTGAAAATATACGCGACTCAAAAACTATGAAACTCTCGTGTACATAAGTTGTAGAGAAGGTAAAAATTGACGATACGCGCATTGATCCTGGGTTGGAATACAAACCCGCTATCAATTCTTGCCCTCCCCACTCCTTTTCCATTGATTTAAAGTTGAAACTCGTCAGTTTGCAAATGATATTTACTTAGAGTGGTGATACATATTCAAGGAAGACAGGTCAAAGCACTGTCGATTTGTGGATCATTAAATATGATTGTCACAATTCTTCATCTAGGGTTCAGTCTAGTGATGGTGAAATTGCGACTATCAGTTTACCACTGTAGTCTCGTCCAGGGCCAAATTAACTAAGTTGAGGGCATTTGTTGAATATCTGTTACATTTTATACGCGCTTAATTTTTTTACTTCCTATATGCAGTTTTACTATCTCTATTTATTAGAATTCAGGAATTGTATATCTTCCGTCATTTTGCAATGAATGCGTTTGTGGATTAACAAACCACGTGTCGAACGAGAACAATAAGAAGGACTAAAATTTCTATCATTTGGAGTGCAGTATTTGAGACGATATAAAGCTGTTAAATATCATATAACGTGTGGTCGAAATTGAGGATATCCAGAACAAGTATCGAGTATAGCTGTACTTGTTGCTCTATGCCCAATTTATCAAACTATATTTGGTGCACTAACCAAAAACACAGCCAGATCCCCGATCACGCTATGAAAATCGACAAAGAGCGGTGACAGGATCATGAAGTATGATGTATTGGTATTCCGCTTTATTGACAGCACTAGTGAACGGCCTATCTCTAAACCTAAGTCACAGGCTGAGAAGTGTGCGCAACGGGAGCCTCCCGAAGGTATTGAGGCTGCTATCGCCTACGCAGAACAGAAAACATTGCAACGGACCCTACCAGCCTTCAATACAGCCATACACCATATGTTATTACTTAGTAGGATTTTAGGGAGCTACTAAAACATCTCTCTCATGCCTTACAAAGGAGAAAGAAAAAGCGGCGAGTTACTCGATTGATATCTGAGAATATTTTTTTTCTGATGATAGGGACTCAGACCCGAACGCCAAATCACTGCGCTGTCTTACAAAACTCGGCTCTAATTTTCGCTGCGTTCAAATGTGAGCAAGATGCCACGCTTTGCACTCAGAACCACGAAGCCTCCGTCCGATGCATCTTTCACTGCAAACCTCTTCAAGGTTTGTTGTACTCCCGTACAGAACTCCTCTATTTGTGCATGTTCTTTGTTGTTTGTGTTCGTAAATGGTATTGTGTTCGACGTGTATATTGGCAATAGCACAGCCCTAGCCTCGCCACTTTCTGAAGGTCTGCCGATTTTGACACTAGTTACTTTATGGTAGCCTGCATCGTATAGCCACCTATTTTGTAAAATGCAAGGTGTGAATTCGTCAATACCTATATCCATGTAAATATCACGACTACGAGTCATCCCTCATCTACAAATCAAGCATCGTTTCGGAATTTCTATACATGCACCAATAATCAAAATCCTAGCCATATACATACAGTAACCACATAGCATCCTGTTCAATTTCAACGACTATGATGAGCATTCCTTTATTCACCTTAGATTTCCAAAAGGGCTGAATATTACAATGGTGAAGTCAAGCTATATAGATACTTAAATAATACTGAGATATAGGCAAAGCCAGCCATACAAATTCGTAATTACCTGATACTCTTCGCATGCTTATCACAGGCGGCTTTGTAGTTGTCTCTGTTTGTGTGGTCTCCATGTGCATCCACCTAGTCAAAACACAATCAAAAGGAGAGGTATGGATGTCAATTCGCAGTTTGATCAGTATCGTTGAACCATAAAATCTACAAATCCTACAGAGAGGTAGCTACTACTCTAGTCTCGGAATCACATCAATTAAGGCGCATGTACCAGGCGTGCAATATGCCCCTGAACCGTACCAAGGAGTGTGGTATATAAATACATACAACCGCGTCCAAAATATACTAGCACCTACTGGCAAGATATACTAGCACCTACCGGCAAGACATACTAGCACGTACCGGCAAGATATACTAGCACGTACCGGCAAGATATACTAGCACCTACCGGCAAGATACACTAGCACCTACCAGCAAGATATACTAGTACCTACCGGCAAGATATACTAGCACCTACCGGCAAAAGAGTCATGATAACCGATGAAGGTTTTCTACTGCTGTCTCTAAAGAGTTCTCCGGCACTTTCATCATTAAGAACACTGTGCACGTCGGTCGTGTCGATCTGGAAAGAAAAGTGAGATATCAGTATACAGCAGAAGGGCCGAAAACGTTTAATAAGGTGAGACTAAAGCAGATACATCAGCAGGAGGGCTTAGAACATTCGCTAGGATGAGGTTATAAAAGCACGTACATTCACATCAACATACATTAACAGCAGAAGGGACTAGAAGATTTAATAGGGTGAGATTGCTAAAGCACATACATATACAGCAGAAGGGCGTAGAACGTTAACTAAGATGAGGTTACTAAAGCACGTACATTCACAGCAACATACATTAACAGCAGAAGGGACGAGAACGTTTAATAGGGTAAGAATACTAAAGCACATAGATTCACAGCAGAAAAGCGTAGAACGTTTACTAGGATGAGGTTACAAAAGCACGTACATTCACAGCAACATACATTAACAGCAGAAGGGACTAGAACGTTTATTAGGGTGAGATTAATAAAGCACATACATTCACAGCAGAAGGGCTTAGAACGTTTACTAGGATGAGGCTACAAAAGCACATACATTCACAGCAACATACATTAACAGCAGAAGGGACTAGAACGTTTAATAGGGTGAGATTGCTAAAGCTCAGACATTCACAGCAGAAGGGCTTAGAACATTTACTAGGATGAGGCT